TTGTCATTGAAATTTTTTTTTTTCAATAACTTCTGTCTTTCTTCACTATGCTAGTGGTATTTTGGATTAGAATCACTACAATTTCGCGTCCGTTAATTGATTGATGATTGGGCATTGTTGCAATGAAAAACTTCTGTTATATCATCTTCATTTATTATTGCTTCTCCACATTTCTTTACAAAATCCAATAACTGGAAAATTTCACCTTTCGTTTGTGATGTCCGAAAACCTTCAAATTTGCGGCTATCATCTTCATTGTCTTCACCGTGAAATATGGTAGCTGGCCATAAATTATGCCAATCATTTTTTAATGTATCTGGAGACACATCCTCACACGATCTTGCAATGCTCCACACAGCAGATTTATGCTAAAAAATTTCAAAAAAATCTTGAATAGTCTTGCCAATGTTCAAGAAATTTAGCATAGATTTTAAAAATGCTACTCTATATTTGCATTTTAGCTTGTGCACTATTCCCATATCCATAGGCTGAATGATAGACGTATGATTTGGAGGGAAGAATAATATGAATACATTATATGTCACTAAGACTTTAAGTGAAGTATGCAGCAAACAGTTGTTAACAATCAGAACTATTTTTGAGTCATCAGGTAAACCAACCGAACTCGAATGTCTCCGAGCCTCGGTTATAAAATGATTTTCAAACCAATCGTTCATCAACGCTTGTGTCATCCATGCTCTTTTATTTGTGCAATATATAACGAGGAAAATCATTACTCCTTTAAATGCTCACGGTCGTGCATGTTTTCCGATTACGAAAAGTTTGCACTTGTGCGTTCCTGCAGCATTTGCGCACGCTAAAATTGTTAGTCTCGCTTTGTAATCTTTACCACCAGTTGGAGCCTTTTCTGTAGAGATTGCCAAGGTATTTCATGGGACGTATTGCCAGAAAAGACCAGTTTCATCAGCGTTGTAAATTTGTTCTGCAATAATTGTCACTAGTAATGATTCAATTCATCTGCAAATTATTCAGCGCTTCAGTATCACTGAAGATTTTCACCAGAAATTTAATTGTCCTACCATCGCGATTTTTAAATTTGTTAACAGCTGTCGAATATGTGCACTCAGTTTAGTTCATTTTCATCAATATTTTGGCTTGAGCCATAGCATTGGACTTGTCAATGGCACGCCCTCGCTATGCCTCTTTCATTCAATCACTTGTCATGATCGTCACTTTTAGCATAACGAAACCCTTTTTCTGTTATCATTGCAAGTGGGTGTCGGAATCCACAAAAAATCAAAAAGTTCCTTTTTCTTTTTGCTTATGTCATATACAGTTGACTTTCCAATCAACATTCCTCGCTAACTTTGAGACGGTAAGCCTTATCCAATTTTTGCAGCAATTCCACTTTTTGTTTGATGACACGAAAAAATACTTTCGCTTTAGATCCTTGGCGCTCCAAATTGGGAACTCTTTTAGATAATCGAAGTCAGTTTTTTATGAAATTGCACTAAACAGTCTCAAAAAATAATACCAATGGATGCTTGGAAGATAAGAACAATCACAACATACATGATGAAATGTTAATCTAGATAATTAGCCTAGCTTATACCATCCATTATACATTAAACGTGCATGTGTAAAGCTTAAAAAAAAAGTTTGTGGCTCTGAGGTCTAGATTATAGATCATTCCAGATAATGACGTTCGAATTACGGACTTTGTACTGTATTAAACAAAAATATCATGTCCATACAGAACATATATAAAGTTGGATATGTTTCAAAGTGGACATTTGCTTAAATGATAACAGATCATTAAAGATATGAAAGTTATCAAATATTTTTTAGTAAAAAGTAAGTAAGAAACAACTCATGACTAGAAAAAACTGTTATAGTTCCTTAGAGGCATAAAAAGTATTCAAATTTTTACCACATAATTATAGTTATATAAAAGTGTAGGATCTATACTATGTGCTAGATGTGACACCACTTAAATTCCCTGAAGTACTGTATTTTTTTGTGGATAATGTGAGCAGTATGCAATTTAGCATTATTTTGCTGTAGAAGAGTTTTTTTCATTTAGGCATTTTCAAGTTATTTTACTTAAACTGCATATGTAATGTAAACCAGTACGAAATGTCATTAATAATACAACTATTTAGCATGAACTTCTAGTGGATTATCTTTCTGAAATTCAACCAGACATAAAGCAATCCTTTGTGGTTAAAGAACCCATGTTCAGACAAAAAGTTCATGAAAATGCCCACTGTTGCATGTTGTTTACCACGTGTGTTTTACTACTTGATATTACAGAAATAGACCCCTTCTTTTGCATGTAAAATGTCAGTTGATGATAATATGAAAATATTGTCATCAACTGCAAAAGAAACATGCAAAAGAAAGAAGTACACAATATGAAATCCGAATGTCCGGTGTCCACAATGATCTAATGTCCAAACCTCCGGACCACCAACCAAAAATTAAATAAATAAAGTAAAATAATAAAAAATTCTCCTCTTTCCTGTACAAAATCTAGGTCACCAAATTAAATAAGATATGTCATAAATGTGATTTTTCTCTCAACTAACTGAGATTCCTGCATGTCACTTTGAAATATATGCTATCGAGGGATTTACATCACAGCCGATAACAGTATGTTGATTGGCATTGTATTGACGTTGGCCCAAATCAGATTTTCGACCAGCTATGGTTGTGGGAGCAGGGCCTGTGCTGCACGTTTGCCTTCTCTTACAATCTCCTCAGGTTCTAAATTCTGTGGTACCTCCCTAAATTCTTCTGCCCGTTGCCTCTTCTAAATTCTAAAAATTTTGCCAGCCTTAATTTTTTCTGCTTGGTGCTCCTCTAAATTCTCAAATTTTTGCTGCCCTGTGTGACTGCAGCAGCTGTGACATCCTATTAGAGGTTATCTTTCTTTTCTCCTGTTGGGGGGGGGTTAGAATTCCTAACCACACCAGTCCTGTTGAGGCTTAGCATTCTTCTACCTGATGAAAACAATAAGCCACAGTGTTGCCATACCTACCTACCATCTTACTAGATTTGATGATCTAATATTTGGAAATTTCTAAATTAGACTTTGTATTCATATGTTATAAAGTTTTTTTAGGTGTTTCTTATGTGCTTTCTCTCATGAATTCTTAGATATGCCGTCATTTCATGGAACAGAATGCAGAAACTCTCATTAGCTTTGTTTAGGCAGTAAAAGGGGGCAAACTATGATTTCTGTAATGTGTTCAGCTTACCTGGTAATCTTTGAATTCTGTTTATTGGATTTGCCTGTATGGTATGGCATATGGTTTCAGAATCTTTAGTTTGTAATCTGTAAAATATTGGCTGATCATTGAATTTTCTGTCTCATGAATGCAAATTTTTGAACCACTGTTAAGGTGCTATGGTTGAAGAAACTTTTGCCTTTCACAAGACAGATATTTCATATTACTTGCACAGTGTTATGACTCAGTTCAAATTCAAACGGCACAAATTTCCTGATTATTAAATTTTACATGCTTACCTTTCTAAATCTTGGATGGAACAAGAAAATTAAAAATTATTCAGAGCAATTACATCAACTACCTGTAATTACTAACACTGACAGTCTAATACAGAATGAATACATTCAGTACATGATATAGCTGCTGCTGACTATGCTATTACTCATATATTTCAAAAACTTTTACTCACCCACCTCACCTTAATATGTGTGACCTTTTTTCCCAGTTTTTTTTTGGGGGGGGGCATAGTTTAATAAATGAATTGTTCAGAGTCAAAATGACCATGATAAATATGCACAAGCATAAATATTATATTTTGATCCAAATAAGAAAATAAGAGTATCTTAGAGGTGCAGAAGTTAGTTTTTTAATAATTTCATTTTTAGAGAGTTTGATACTTGTCTATCAGCTAGTGCAAATTACATACTCATGACTATCAACATTGACGAGAAGTCAAAAGTTGTAGACTTTAATCCAAAATAACCAAATAATGCAAGAAATAGCTTACACATCAAATTACATCATAGCAGATTGCAGTAAGTATATTATGAAACATATGCTATATTATTAGACAAATGTTTAAAAAATGCATATTCCAAATTTGACTGTCATAGGCAAATGTAAAACAAGCTTTTTACGTAATCGAGCTGTGTTCTTCATGGCAATAGATATTTGGCTATTTGCCAGGAGACCAAGAAGTACTTTCTTTCTCAAGAACTTAACTACTCAAATGAAGAAGACACAAATACATTCAAATTCTTAAAAATCTGCACAATAGAATTATAAACAGTTGGATTGTCTACTTCAAAATTCATAAGTGGAATTTCCCAAACCCAGAAATTGGTCATTGGCTGAATTTGGCTTCTTTTTTCCCTTAGTTTAATAAAAATGTCGTATTTAATGACAAGAGTACTTTACTTGCTTTTAAATATCATGAAATTATTTTGCACTTGGCTAATAGACCAAAACTAATAACTTTTAAGATAAATTCAATTACATATTTAATTCCCATCGACAGCATTACATCCAAGGAATTCAAGCATAAGCATGAGGATCATACCTCTGATACTTCTTATGATGAACATTCAAAAAAGAGGAGAATTGAGTAAATCTTTTACAGATAGCAATAGCATGTGTGAGGAGAGCTGAATAATCCTTTTACTGAGAGCATTTACTTTTTTACCATTTGTGTCATGTGTTGCTTTGCTTTTTATGTAAGCATTTAAAATTTTCTTTGTGTTTTTGTAAATGAATAAGTAGTTATTTGAGCATTAGGTATGAGACTAATATGACTGATGAAAATGCAAATCCAAAACTGATTAATATTTACAGTATAAAATAGTTTAATTTTTTGTTTGCATATCCTAAGAAAATATGAATTAAAGATGGGGAAAATTATTGATATAAATTTGAAGATATTTTTTTAAGTAAAATTTAAAAACTAATTTGCTTAAAAAATATGTTTGGAAATTACAGTTTTAAATTACATGTATATTATTACACCAATACTTTCCAAGATTGTGTGAATAATTATAGTGCTTAGTAGTCCATTTCTGGTTTAATTAATCTCCTCCCATATCATCCCCATAAGTAAGATCATAGGAAGCAAACTGAATATTAGTAACAATTGCATTTTTAAGATGTAATTTTACAAAAAGCCTCAGTATCAAGCATGGGGATATACTTATAATTTTTATCATAGTCTGGTGCAGATAAACGTGATAGCTTTTGAATTTTAAGTAATTATTCTTAAGTCAAGTGCTGAATATCAAGGACAGGAAACAAAAGCATTGTCAAGATCAAAGAAGGCTATATGGAGAGAATCTGCAAACTAGTCATCAAGACAGGAAAATGTGACCTTAAAAGGAGTTGATTACTGTGGAATAAATCATATATTTTTATTATTTTTACCCAGAAAAATATTTGTTTTCCTTTCAGAGATGTGGCCTTTTTTTAGGAAAAATTTGTTAAATTTTTCCTAAAAAAGGCAGAGCAAGTTAATTTTTTTAAACCAAATGCAAAATGTTGAATGTTCAAATACTAAACCTGTAAAGATGCAAAATATTGGATGCTCAAATACTAAACCTGTAAAGATGCAAAATATTGAATGCTCAAATACTTAAATATAAGAAATAAATTCTTTCATTCATATTATTAAATATTATTTCATATTATTAAATTAATAATGAATCAGAAATCAGCATATATATTTCTTTTATTTTTTAACTGTGTCTGAAATTTATTAATTATGTTAATCAGAATATTAATTGATCATTAATATTTGATTCTATCTTTTGTTTGATGGCCTCACTCTTAAAAAGCCTTTAATAATTTTTAGAAAATATGCAGGTATTCACACATTACAACAACCAAGACATGGAGTTTTGTAACTGCTACTCTGCAAATTCTTGCCAGCTAAAAGCAAATATTCCTTGAACTTTCTTGAGCCTTCAAAATGCAGTGTTTGCTACCTCACAGCAAAATATTTACTCACTTTCTTTCACTTCTTGTTCTCTCTTCTGTTGCCAGATTGCATATTTATAATGCAGCAGGGGTGTGTGTGTGTGTGTGTTAATATGGCATTGGGTTTGAAAATCAGTGGGGATGGGAGGAAGGAATAGCAAACTTACTACTGGGCAGTATTTTTTACAAACAGTTATTCTGTATTCTATGTATGTAGCATGTGGCATAAGAAATATCATTTATTAGTTATAATAATCATGCAAATATTTATTAAAAATTATCTCTTAAACATATAAAAAATAAAATGGGAAAATGATTAAGAAATATATCATTAAGTAGATTATTTTTAAATCATTTTTTTTGTTACACTGATTAATGATGTACAGTTTTAGACCTTACTCTGCATTGATTGGTAGAACGTTTTAGAACTGACTGTTAATCAGTCATGTGGGTACTCAATACAATGACAGTGCAAAATAAAGGAGCCAAAGAAAGAAGGCAAGACAAACTATTGGTATTTTTTAATATAAAAAACTTTCCATTACTTCTGTTGTTTTGAGAGTAGGGCAGTTATAAATAACTTTTTTTTTTTTTTTGGTTGAAATAGATAGCAGGCTCAAATAAAATGAAGTTTAAAATTTCTTAACATATTGGTAACTAATTTTTGGGGTTAGACCCATTATAAAATATTAGTCTTATTCTAGAAACAGCTAGAAGTGTTCAGAAGAAATTCAAGCTTTTTCATTAGGATATTGAAAATATAAATCATACAAAATAAATCAAATACATTACATTTATTCTACAAGATAGCAATTAATTCAAAATAAATTCAATTTTGTAGTCAAGTTTAATACTACAAACAGAATGATCTGAAATTATAATCCATTCTTCAAGAAGAGTGGGCAAGAGCAGTTAAAAAAAATGTAGTAATTGGTGATATCAATGACATTACTGTATAAATGGATGCCAAGCTGATGTTCAGCATTATATTTGTTTGAAATATGAATATCTTTAGTGCTTTAATTTATAATCTTTTCACAAACATTTCATATTTGAAATTATACCTTAAAATATTTAATATTTTAAAATATTTCATCCTATATATATTTGGTATTTTAATCATATAAAATTCAAAATAGAAAACATTGTTATTTAACATATACTCTCTTAAATTATGGCATATGATTTTTCACTGATGGAAAATTTTCAAATAAATAATGGGCAAAGCATAGGCAAGTTTATAATGAACTTATTTATGTAATAAAAACAAACTTAGAAGTAATGACTAGCAGGAATTTTGATGGCGTAGAAGTGTTGATCCATAATGAATGGGAAATTGGAGGCGAAGGCAGATTAAATATTCATTTTTTCATTTCAGCAAGCATTTGTGGCCACAAACAAGTTGGCACATCAATTGTGCCTATTCCAATAAGCTTATATTTTAGATAATTTTGCAGTAAGAAAGGAGGAAGTCTGCTATGCAGACTATAATCCAGTTATGCCAAAGCGTAGAAAGCAAGTGCATTATGTTCAGGGTGAAATCTTAATTCAGACTGAGTTAGTTTTGGTTCTCAATACATTTTGATTGGATATTTAATATTACTGTAAATTACTATTGGCTGCTTGTGTTTGAATTCTATTTACATCACCAGAGTCTATTTTAATTCTGTTTACATCACCAGAGTCATATGGCATGGATTAATCTAGAAATGACGCAGTGCAGAGAGAGGTAACTATTTTTAGAATTGAGAAGGGAAATTTACATTGCTAATTTAATCTTTTACATATTCTTTATTTTCCTCACATACATATATATATATTCTAAATAAAAGTAGTGCAAACATGATATGACATGCTTTGGTGAGAATATATTTGCTTTGATGAGAATATATATACTTCTCATTTCTATGGATGGACTGTAGTATGTAAAACAATTAGTGTTATTAATTATAATTTTTGCTTACTGTGATGTCTGTTTGCAGCTTTTTGCGTATGCTTATGTGCTTTTCGTCTTTTCTTAGTTGGTCTGATGGACCACCAGTTCTCTCACCTCATAAACCGTGGAGCATTGATGATATTGTTACACGTGCTCCACCACCACCAACTGTAGATGCAGCTCCTGAAAAATTTGCTATATCTCCAACCGTTATGATTATTGGAGTAGCGTCTTTGCTGTTATTTGCTTTTCTTGTTTATTACAATATGGAATCTACTCCAACCAATCCATTTCAGACTAATAAGTAATTTGATTTTTTAAGTGCCTAAATTTAATTATTTTAATATATATTTACATTTGTGTAAATGACATTTGTGGTGAATTTAACATATTTTTGTGTTTGTATGTTAAATTACTTATAGATAAATGTTTAGATTTATTGATTGTGAATGTATAACATTTACATGTTTTAGTTCAAATCTAATGTGATCATTTCTAATAAAGATTGTTTGACAAACCACTTTTTGAAATTTTATTTTTGAAATATAATATAGTAGATTCCAATTAATCAAGGATGGCATTCATAGTTAATCTGACAGCAGTTAATAAAGTGCACAGGAAAGAGAATTAACCCATCATATTATTAACAGAAAAGTACTATTAGCAGTTTATCCGTATTTTCAAGCAGTTTTAATTTGGAGAATATATTCATTTGGTTCAATAAAATTAGTATTCAAACAGAAAGGTTGTTCATACCTTTGTGGATTGGGAAAAAGTCAATGAGAAAATAAAATGAATGGCTATATGCTTAATTTATTTTTAACGGATGATTTACAGTGTTTGTATAGTTCAAATTATATGCAATTAAATTACATATTGTTGTGGACAAAAAGAATTCCTGAATACTGTAACATCATCTGTTATAATTTCTGTTGTTTCATGCATATTCTCCTTTTTTTGTATTTTCCTGTAGAAATTTTGTTTTATTCTGATGGTTTGTGATAGTCGCTTTTAAATTGTTGTACAATAAATATTTTTTTTTTAGACAAGGCAGCATTAATTCACCCTCCAAATTAATTGGGACCCATAATACTTATACAGTTGTTAGTAAATTGTAATGTGTTCAACAAGCATAATTTCTATGCCAGTGGCCCAGGTTTAAAACTTAAATGAGATGACAATATTTGTGTTTGTTTTGTGTACATGTAGTAGGGTCACATAAAACCCATCAACCCAAAAGTCTTTTTAAAAATGTGTTTAAAATAGTAATGTTAACTTGATAGAAATGGATTTCTAAATTTGAAATGGAGAAATGGGTTCTAAATTTTAAAAATTGGTGATATGAGAAAAGGAGTTTTAGACCTTAAGATATCAACTGAGTTAATTCAAACTGGGATGCTCTTTGAAAGAAGTTTGTTATTGCTTATACTCTTAAGATTTCTGACCAGTAACAGTATAGGTCTATTATTCTTTTATGACCCACCAGTGCCCGATGGGTAAAGTTGCTAAACACTAATAATTCGGTCGAAGGTTCGAATTCTGGCGAGCAGGTTGGCTGCATGGGCATTTACATGGTTTTCTCCGTGTGTAACGTGTATGCGAGCCTGTTTTTGTTAGAACGTTCTCTATAAAGGCATCCCTCCTCTTAAACAGATAGCCCTCGTGTGCTTTACCATAATCGTGTACACCAAACCAAAGATATTATTTATTCTTCATGGAATCTGGGATCGAATGACAATAGTATAAATCTGTAATGCTAATATATTCCAATGAAATCCATTTCTATCAAGTTAACATTACTATTAAAATTTGATAAGTGTGTGCTGTAATTAAACTTGTGAAAATAAGATTAGAGTAATTCTGAAAATATCTTGTGTGGGTTAGCATATGTTGTTCTGAAGTCTTTCTCAAATTAAAATAGCTGCTTTATTATATTTGAAAGTATTAAATAATAAAAACACAGATTATAGCAAAATATTGCTTGGATTAAAACTAATATTTGAATCACGTATTTTTATTGAGAATTCTATCAGTTTTAATTTTTGCTTCTGATATGATATTCAATGATGAGAAGAAATAGATTTAAAATACATGAAATTAGAGAGGCTCTTGGGAAATATATTTTCTCATTTTTAACAAATATTTTAGTACAATGACAAAAGATGCTTTATAATATTGTTTTAATTTTTGCAGTTTTCTGCACAATGAAAGCAAGAACTGAATTATTTAATTTAGTACTTTTCCATTTCGGCGGCGCAAATCTTGCCGAGCAAACTTTATTGGCGACAAAATACAGTATACTCTTAACAAATGTTAGTTCTAAGTTTTTTTTATTTTGAAGGCATAAACATTTTAATGTCGTTTAAAATTTTGTAAAAAGCCAATAAAAGACAACAAATTTGTAAAAGGACATTAATTTAAGAATTTACTATGCTTTCATGGTTTAACATCCTGATCCGGTTCATATCACATGATCACAAGTGATCTATCTCACGTAAACTACACTTTAAAAATATAATTATCTAAGTAATTATCTACATTAATTTCAAGTTAAATCTTGATTTGGAATGCAAGTTTAAATGCAAGAATTATTTCAATTCGTACAAATCGCTTATTCAGAAATTATGTAAAACCGCAGTGCTCTTCGCTAGTGCATTCTCATTAGAATTAATGAATTTAACCCTTAACATTGCCTTTTCTATATTTTCGCCTCAGTTGTACCATTATTGGAGACTTTAATGCCTGTGCCAGCAAAACGGTAAAGTACCTTTAATAAAGATTTGTAAAAAAGCTACACTTCCATAAATAAATTTTTAAAAAAAATCCCCCTTTATTTTAACTAAGGAATTGCTATTTGTTTTCTTATGCCAAATTTTTAATAAATGAGTAGATTCATATTTATGCTTGCATTTATCTACAAGAAAATGTATTTACTTTTTTTATGACAAATGTGACACTTAAAAATGGAGCAACTCTAATTTAAAAAACATAAAAGCTAAAATGAGAAACACCTAAGTATATTTTAGGCTAGGAATAAACTACTTTTTAATATTAATATTCCATAAAAGTTATTCCTAACCTTTCGTTGGAAGAAAGAACAACGGTACAGGTAAGAGGATATGAAAGATTATTTCAATTTAGAGAAAGTTCACAAGGAGTCCTAAGAGTGTCCTAGGGCAGTGTCCAGGCCTCATGTGGTCCCCAAATATATTTTAGTTTTATTATGGCAAATATTTGAAGAAAGGTTTAAGATTTTGAGTCCAGTTTTACATTTCTTTCATTACATTGATAAATGAACACAAGTAATGCCATAGGAAATCTTCAAATGAAGTTAATAAATTTACACTTTGATATAAATCTCATTTAAAGTTTTGAAGATGCAGATCTGATTAATCTCTTTTTCATACTTGTCAAATAAATGGTAATAAATACCCTCAGTTATGAATTTGTGCCATTAAAATTTGTTTGGGAATACATTAAAATGTGAACAATTCCCCCACTTTTAATATCAAAGTTGTAGTAAGAAATAAGTTTATTTATGTAAAAATTAAGTATATGAGTTTCTTCTGTATGAATCAAACAAAAATTTAATAAATAAAATAAAAATAATAGGTTGCCATTGTATGTTCTCAGTTTTGTCTTTTACAGAAAGTTTTTGTAATTTATTTATTTTTAGTTAAAATCAGTTATTTAGTGGTTAATTGAACATATGAAAATTATTTGAAATAAATGTTAATCTGAAAATTTGATATATAGCTGTTAACACAATTGAATTACCAATAAGTAAAAGAAATTTCATGCAGGTTTCGGACATAAAAATTGGAATTTTTTCCTTCACATCATTATTATTATTGTTTATGTATGGTTGTGATAGATATTTAGTATGTAAAACTTTCAATTTAGTTTAAAAAAAACTGTTGATTTTGAAAAACAAATATTCGGCCTGCCAACTACTTTCAGATCATGCATTCAGCCTGCATACAGTTTGAGACCACTGTCTTGTGGGATGAAATTTTAGGACCATATATCCAGTTTTCCTTTTATCTACAACTTATAAAAAGGACATTCAGATTTTAAGTGCTTTCATTCTAAAAAGCAAGTACAGTTCCAAACATCCATATTTTGTCCAGAATTTAAGGCCTAATGTAGTCAGTCTCCCCTGACCACTATAACCATTTGAGGGGGGGTTGCTTTTGATTGATTATGCCAAAGCACACTATCTCTCCTTAAGGGTAGAGATGCCTTCATGGAGCATCTTCTAAGGTAAACTCCACATTAAATATGATAGGAGAACCATGAAAACTCCCATGCAGCCAACCCATTCTCTGGGATTTCAAACCTAGGTAGAACTGGTGACTCAGCTCAGACCTAGGTAGAACAGCAACTCAGCTGCTGCTGAGCTCATCTGTGATCACAACTTTTTTAAACACTGTAGGCAGGAGAAAATTTAAACAAAAATTAATTAAAAATCGTATAGAGTTCTTTGGATGTGACAGAAGAATGATGAATTATTTATATCTATTTAATTTTTCAGTTACTTCCATTTTTCATAATTTTTATTATGCTGTGAGGAAGAAAGATCTTTACTTTTATTGCAGTTTAAGCAATAAGAATTTTTCTAATGAAGAAGATCAGCTAAAATTCAAGGACATAATGCTGAAATTTCCCATAATTCAAGAATATTGCTAATTTGGTAGTATGATTTTTCAGAATCACTACAGTCGAAATTCTTCAACTTCAGAGTTATAAATAATTAATATATCTGCTAGTTTACAAAACAAAAGCAGTAATAAATCAGTAAATAATGAATTGAACTGCCCATCATTCTACAACAAATCAAACTACTATTAACTAATTTATAGCTTCTCACAGCCTTCTGTCATTACTGTAATATTTTAGAAAAATCGGACCTAAATTGTATAAACATGTTTTCTGGGAACTTCAAAATGTTGCCAGAAACTCTAGTAGAGTAAGAACTGTGAAAATAGCTTAAGAAAAGCTATTTTTAAAGTTTTAGTATCTATGCATTTAGAATTATAAATACCACACAATAATAATGAAATTAAATAATACTTGAGATTTTTTTTTCATCTATTCTGGAGTGATGTTACATGAAACATTTTGCTAGAAAAAATGGCTGATATTTATGTTCATATCCAGGAGGGGGCAGTATAATGAAAAAATCCACGTAGATAACCTGTTTTGCTGGGAATCAAATCCTAAATAAAATATCTTATCGTCTTTGGCTATAATCACTTGAAAGGAACTCTATTTGTTAAAGATAAACTAGATGGAAATAAAGTTTGTTTGTAGAAAAGTTATTATTTCTAGAGACATTGCAACTTCATAGTGTACTCTGAACTTTTGTCATCTGTTGAAATGAAAGCTCATCCAATGTATAGTTTTTTAGCAACCAAACTTCTGCTCTCCTTAAAACACTGAAAGGAATCACAATACTGTATTTGGCTGATGCAGTCATCGCTTGGTTAAGCATTTGGAATGTTTGTGTTAAAGGTTTCACGACAATTTCACACCCTGTTCCTCCAAATCGTTTCATTTTTGCTTTTTCACTAATCTGGTGAGAAACTTATGTAGGATCTCTTTCAGTCGATAATGCATAGATCAGACCCAATAAAAGGAATGCATTACCGAGATAACATTGCTAGTTGCACATAGTGGCTCGAGCATGCCATCTGCAGCTGTTAGTACACAATTAAAAAAGTTCAGTATTTTTCTAGAAAAAACTCATATTTATGGAGATGGCAGATTTGATGGCATTTTTTTACTAAAACTACTTTATTTGTAAGCTTCATAGCCATATATAATGTATTTCTGTGACAGAAATTTTTCTTTTAGTCACTATTATTCACATCAGAAATGGAATCTTCCAATTATTATAAAATCCTGTAGCAATACAGACACTGTAAAATAAATAAGTCTATACTTTAAAATTTTAGTTAAGTGAAAATTCATCCCATTCTTTGACTGTATCTTCTCCAAAGTTCTAATTAATGCAGGTAGATTAGACTGCATATGTTTGCATATTGTAAATGCCTTTTTATTGGAGAAGCAATTATTCATTGTATTTGTATGTCTCATCATTTCATGAATCTTCATCAAAATTCATCACAATAGAATATAGTAATCATAAATTTTGTAGTTTGAGGTTTCATTTCCAAATCATTAGGTTCCTTCTGATATTTCATTTTCAACACCTGAATTATTCTTATAGAGTTTTCTTTTTCCCAGTTTGGTTGGAGAAAACATTTCGGATTTGGAAAATCATAATTTGTCAAATAAGCAGTTTTTTTAGTTCCCAAGTTTTAAAAAGTTTTTTTTTTAAACTTAACGTTCCAAAATTTAAAAAAGAAAACTTTTTTTTTTTTCATTTTTAACACAATTTTTGTTAATAATTTTTTATGAAAGTATAATGCTTAAAATTTTGAAAATGATTAGTTCATATCTAAGTCAATTTACTCCAGCTTTACTTAAAATATTAAATATAAACAATGCATAGTTTAACTGTTAAGGATGAATTGATATGGATAATTAAAGCATATAAGAACCATCTGTCTAGTTCTATTGATTGACGAAAAAGAGCACACTAACTCAATCTCATTGTATAATGTAATAGGAAATAACTACTAAAAACTAAACAAACTATCTAACTAAAAAAAAGGTGGTGGATAATGATTCTTCACCACCAGGATTTAGCAATTAAGTCCCCTAATCCCCAGTCGCCCTTTAAAAGGAAAAGTGTATGAGGTATTTTTTCCCTCCCTTTCTGCATGCCTTCGTGGTGTAATGATTAGCACACTCAGCGCATATTCAAGAGGTCCAGGTTCAAGTTCTGGTGAGGAAATTGCTCATTTTTCGTGTATACCTGCTTCAAAAAATCCTAATGACAATTGATTTTGCCCAAATTCTGCATAATAATAATAAACATATGTATGAAGAATGAGTGTTATCTCAATAAATGCCGTTAAAGCTAGCATTTTAAGCAACATTAATATTATTTAATTTTTCTCTCACCAGCAGTTGTTAGCTGATAGCGTTATCAGTTGAAACTACTAATATGAAAAACTCGGATCATATAAGTGAACTTAATGATTTTTAATGTTATTGTTTAATGAAAGAAAATTTTTTGACAAAAACATTTTTAATTAAATAAAATTATAGTAACGGAAATTTTTCATTTATTTTCTTTTCTTAAATTTATATAATTCATAAATGGTACCATAAAATATTATAAATATATAAATACTGCTATCAAACAGATTGAATAAATTCCAGTTAATTTTTTTTCAGCATAACTTTTCTTAAAAAGTAGCAACATATTTTCATTAATCTCCCAAAAGTCTTTTCTTTCTGTTGTCTACAGTATTAGGTAAACCAATATTTTCCTCCATTATTTTTTTATAATTCACATACAAGCATACGAAAAAACTTAAACTTGGCACACCAGCAATTATTCATTGTATATTTGAAAGCTTTTATGATAATTCACTTGCAAATACAAGAATCAAAATAAAATAAACAAAAAATTGCTTTCAGTTTAAAACTTTTGTAATATATTCTTTACGTTAATCCATTAAAAGGATTCTTCAAGAATAAATTTCATTTTGGAATAAATATTAAAAGAAATCATAACACTTAAAAACACACATGTATAAAAGTTTAAATTGTGATAAACTATCTTTTATTCGACTTGATGCCAATATTTCAAAACTTTTATAATTAATGAGTAGATGTTAAATTTAGTAGTCACGTTGGCATAAATTGGTTTTAACCAAAGGAAACTAGGTATGAAGAAAAATGAAAAGCCTAAGACAACTATGCATGGACAGTGATAGTAGTCATTTTAGAGGTGAAAAATAGTACAGTCAAAAGTCTTTAATCCAGACTCGTCTGGACTTCGGCGATTCCGGATTATAGATCATCAGTTTAAATCTGGTAAGATGACATGCAAAAATTATAAAATTAAAAATATGAAACCGTAATTTATGAAATAAAGAGCAATTATGATCTAAAGGGTATCAAAATTTACAAAAAAAGAACAACTTCATATTTATTTGTTTCCTTTATTAAACATTTCTTTCAACGTGTGCATTCATAAAGCATACATTACGAATAGTCGAAATTAGAAAATTGCAACCAGAAAACTATTTAATGTGTATTCGTGATATTTCATAATGACGATGAAATTTGATTTAAATCATATCAAAGACGCAAGTACATCGAGATGAAATACTACATTTAGTAAGGAATTATAAGCCAAATAAAATAAAAACATCTGCCCTGAAGATAAGGATAGTGCTGACAGATCAACTTCCAGTTCATTGCGTGTGGCAACGTCCCCCCCCCACGGAGAGCAGCATGAAATTGATAAACAGATTTCGGAATGCTTAGAGAAACAAAAGATATGCCTTTATACATTTTTTGCAGCAATTCCACTTTTTGTTTGATGGACATCGAAACATGCTTTCGCTTTGTAGATCCTTTGGCAGCTCCAGAATCAGAAATTCTTTTTGACATAATCGAAAGTTCAAGCTTACTTTTATAAAATTGCTCTACTAGTCTGCAAAAAATAATAAGCCGGATCCAATTAGAAGGTTAAGGAATAATGCAATCTGCAACATTAACTGAAATAGATAATTAGATAATTTTAGCTTAGCTTGTACCGTCCGTTATACATTAAACACACATGCGTAAACACATAGCGCTTACGCATGCGTGTTTAATGTATAACATTACTTTCAGAAATGGTTATTTTAAGGAAGTGGTAGACAGAGTTACTGTTTTGAATTTGAAGATAATAGTGCAATAATGTTTAAAATGCTCAAATTAATTTATGAAAATTAGATAAAGAGCGAAGTTACCATAATAAATAAATATTACATTTAATGTGATGGATATTATAAAAAATTAATAATAAGTTAACAACATTTTATGACAAGAAGAGCACATACATGGCTGCAAAGCAGAATTGCTGCAATTTTGTACATCATTAATCATTTCAAATTATATAATATTTGACTTTGGAATAATGGGTGTAATGCTTCATGTTTATGCAAATGAAAACATGTTGTGGATCTACCTTTTATCATTATACTTGTGTCTTCTGAAAATATCTTATTCCAAAAAACATGATAGATATGCGATCTACACAGCAGTGACAACTGATAAGTACACATCAGAGGTTGCTCATAAGTAACTATTCCAATCTATTACCTGTTCCATCAGCATATTCAACTGTTCTTTTTCCCATTCAACAAGTATTAACTCTCTGAACCAGTTACAAAGGAGTATGAGTGCAGTAACAAATCTGATTCTACAGCTTTGAACTGTTGCTTTTAGGATGAATATTCTCTCATCACAATTTTTTTTTTTCCTTTGCAACATTTCATCGGTGGTTACATCAAACAAAAGTGCAGATGTTATGAGTGTATTACGACATCATGCTTATCCATAACTTGTGCTAAATTGCACTGTTTGGTGACAGTTTCATGCTCAGTGGAATAATACATAATTACCTTATATTTATTGAAAAGTGAAATAATGAAAAATTGCTTTTTCGTTCAAGATAGTACAGTTTAAAGAATATGAATAATGGTTAGATTAACATTAGTTTTCTTCCTTATTTTTTAAAATGCAGTCTTTCTCTTCATATATAGATTTATTAAGGGCCTTCTATAATTATGCAGAAATCAGTGAGACAAAAAAACTTGCAATGAAAGTACTCAATCGACACAGCAGTGATCAAGTCATTGAAGGTGAAAATTAAAGTATTATCACAGTAACACTTTAAAAATTATACGCTTTTATACTGAGAAATAATTTCAAATAAAACAGATTTTCTTGATTTGTCTTTTTTTAAGCATATATAAGAGATTGAGGGATTAAATAATTCTTTAAAAAAGTTTAACACCTTAATTGCTGTGTGACCTATTGGTGGATCATAATAGGTTTGTTTTGGGTGGCTCTTGATCCACAGGTAAGCCACAGCAAAATTCACATTTGTGACCGCATGTGCCAGTGGTGGGTCACCTTTTCTGCAGCTTTATAGGGAAATATAAATTTCTTTAGCCTCCAAATCACTCTACTCAAATTAGTCCTGACATGCGTCAGCAATCAACATTTTAATAACTTTTCTGAAATAAATGGAAGCGAATTGAATATAATGAAATATGTTTAGAAAAAAGTGCAAAGAAAACAGACATTTCTTGTAAAATTTAACATGAGTTTATTTACACTTCTAACAGCAGTATAACAAATTACTTAAATTTTAAATAAAACACATTTCAGTGTAATGAATAAAAGCATTATTTATATAACACTAAGTATGCACAGGAATATAACCAAGAGAAAAACCATTAAGAGGTATCTGTGTGTTTTGAATATATTTTGTACTTTCTTTTAGTAATTGACAAATATTTTCAAATGCATTATCACTAACCATGTAAAAATCCACATTAAAGTCATGTTTCCATGAGTGTACTGTGTCACATGATGGTGAACAAATACAATAAAGCACTTTGTACATTTCTTTTGTTTTTAAAAATACTTCAGATACTAAATTTGTTGTGTTTGGTGATTTACTGCATTTATCAGTATCTGAAGATTTACTGTATTTATTGGTATCTGAAGTACCTTTTAAACAGAACTGAGCTACTGTTTGAGAAGTAACCCATAATAGAAGAGAACTATCTTCATTAGCAACCTAGAGGGAGGGAAAAAAGATTAAAACTTTGAGTAATGTTCAATTTTTTTAGTAATGATACAAAATTTATTTAACATCTAAACATGTTTTATCATTAATACTACAAATGCAATGATTATTATCTTAATAGTAAGACAGTCACACAATGCTTAAAATTTTACATTTTGTTAAACTAAAACAGGTTAATAAAATTAAATAAATCAGCACTTGCTTATGACTCAAAGGAAACAGATATAACAATAAAAAAGAAAGCTTTTTACTTTTTTATTTAAAAATATCAAAGACTCATATCTACAGTACATAATTTTTCTTTTTTAACATTTTCTTAATGGGCTTTGATATCAAAAGCTCGCGTTAGCTTTAATGCTTTTGATCAATATAAAAATAAATTAGGTACTCCAGCAATTCATACATATCTTTGAATATTATTAACAATTTCTATATTGTTTTGATAATGATCATTTAGTATTCAGTGTAAATCAAAAGTGAATTTTTTCTACTGATCTGTAATCAGGGCTTAATTTCTAAAATTAGAAGTGCCGGAGCCTTATGGAAGACTGTCAGGAAAGGGGAACAAGAATAAATAAATAATTATTAAAACAATTAAACAATGAATGATTAAAGCAATTAAAAATTAAACAATTATTAAAATCATTAAATAATCAATGATTAAAGTTATTAAATAATTAAAATTAAAAATTAACAAAATGACTTTTTGATATAATTTTATAACTGGAAAAAAAAAAAAAATTGAGATCAAATTTCTACCAAAAGTTTATTCAATTACGTAAAAGAAGTACCACAGCCTTCTTATTTAGCGCTCTGACTACAATTAAGATTTATTCCAAAAACTAAGAAGTACCGGCACAATTTAAGCTCTGTCTGTAATATTTTATTAAATGATTCTTGAGATGGTAAATTTTATATCTTTCATGAAATATACCTGCTTTACATTAGAAGAGAAATTACACACATTTATTTATAAAAACTAAAGAGCTAAATAAAAAATGCATTTCTATTAATAACAGTTTATTCTAATTCTGATTTAAATTCAAAGTAATTAAGTATGAAAAATCGTGGGATTTTTATACAAAAGAATTGAAAAGAAACTTTAAGGAACAGTTATAGATCAGTACCTATAAGTTAAGCTAGACATCTTCACAAGACAACTATTTAAACATAGTTAACAGATATAATCTAATTTTAAAACATTTTAAATATCCACTTCTTTTTTTAAATTCAGAAAGCATTTTGTCAGATTTTTGATTTAAAAAAAAAAAAAAAAAAAAGAATACCACCAAACTTGGAAAATTAACAAGCTTGGTGATGAAATATCAAAATTTTATTTATTTATTTATTTTGTATGTGTGTTCTGAAAGCAAAGTAGAAATGTACTAGTTATCAGTATGTACTGTTACTTAAAGTACATAAAAGAAAAGAAGAAAAAGAAATACATTTTGAGTCTTTCAAAGTATTAGGAAAAGAAATGAATCCAGTAATACTATTAATGTTCATAAATGTAGTACAGATCTTATTTTGCATTAATGAATTACTTTTATTTTAAGAAGCTTTTCTTCTCCTTCTAATTTCCATTTCCAGCCAGAATGCAAATTTAAATAATGTATATGCAAAATATTAATGTTAATGTACACTGGATAGATATGCCTATCCTGTTGAAAATTTCACATGAATAACAGACAAATTTCACATTTTAATGGCCAGCCATTTAAACCATTAGAGTGAGCAATAAACCATGTTACATTTAAAAGAAATTAATGTTACTTGTGAGAAAACCACTTGAAATGTTTATCTACCTAGATAATGAGACTTTAGTGCAGAATTTCTTAAGAGAAACTAGCTCTTGTTCCAGAAGAGAAAAACTCCAATTAGTTACAATTAAAACTTTCTTATATTGTCAATGTGAATAGGAAATACCAATACAAATGTTAAACAAATTTTAAAAAGAGTATTTTAAAGATGATAAGTAAGGAAAGATCCTTCTAGCTGCATATGCGATAGGGAGTAAAATATATGTAAAAGGCTTATTGAGTGTGACAAGTGACTGCCACTGATGGTGAATATTTCAAAAATATTGTTCACAGAGTTCCCGTACTAAATATAACATATTGGGAAATGGCAATACAGTACATCAGCAAAATATGTTATTAATATTAGGAGAATTTCTTAAATTTTATCCACTATAGATAGATATGCAGGAGGATGAATTTATTTAATTATATGAGAGATACAGTTGTTTTCCACTTATGAAAGACTTAAATTATTAATTCTTACAACTAAAGAAAGAAATCTGATTGTTTTCACTTTTATGAAGAAACACGAACAGCTTGATATGATCAGCATAAAACAGAAAGTTAATGCATTTTGTTGCAATCTAAAACCTAACACCAAAGAACCGAGCCATTTAGAGGCATAAGAAAAACATACTCTGATGGTACAGAAGTAATAATGATGCTTTCTGAGTATCCTCACCCTAAGTTTCAATATTTGGTAAAACTGCTGCGTTTCTTGCATATTTTTTAGAATACACATGACAACAGCCAACCAACTCATACTAGTGTCACATAGATGCTTGAGTATGTGTGGATTTACATGCTTTATTTAACCATCAGTTTGTGCATCAGTATTTTCTTCACCGGTTGTAAAAATATAAATATTTGTGATATAGACACCTCCCCCCCCTTGTAAAACATTTTATTATTATTTATATCACAGATCATCATTCATGTAAAAGGCATGTAGCCTGTTGAGGCCTTTACCAGTCTATATTTCTTAAGTTCCTAATGGCATAAAGATGAGAAAAAAAAACCCAAACAAGTGAAAGTCTTAAAGCACTGGGTGCGGATCTCATAAGAGAAAGAAGTACGACGCCATCTGTTGACTTCAATAATCTTCAGTAATGGCATATCTTTGGAGTGATGTTCTTATGGCGCCATCTGATGCCACGGGTATTATTTATACCGTGGGAATCGTGGAACATGATGGAGAATACTGGCGTGTAGCCTTTCAGACGTTAACCGGTTAGCATGAAGATACGTGCCCTAAGGCAATGGAAGTATTTATTTTCACAACCATAGCACGCTTCGCCAAAAGTCGAAATCGAAAAGTTCGTGGGAGAACTCCTTTGGCCATGGGAAAAGTAGACATGCCTCATCGCTGAGGGAAAAAATTCCATCATCAGAGCCATCGAGCTGGGAGAGAGGAGCGAAAGCTGAATTCGCCGGGGCCCGTCACGTGGGTGGTCACCCTCCCAAGTACTGACCCCGGGAAGAGCAGCTTGACTGGAGATCGGTAGAATGACCTGAAAGTAGAAGAAAATAAGAAATTAAAGTGGAGGTTTCTTCAACTGCAAGTAAGGTGAAGAGTTAATCTTCATCTTCTGCAAATTTCAGGAGCATAGTGGTCGCTTTGAAGCCAGCAGTAAACTTCTCAAATGTCGACTTCGCCGCTTTTATTGTCTGGATGCTATTGATTATTTCATGGAGGAAACTTCTAATTTTTCTGTCATGTAACCATTCCATTGCCTCTTTGAAGTCGTCAGGTGGGGGTTTTAATCTTTTCTTCAGTTTTTCACTGTAGGGAACCTTCGGGATGGTATTTTCACAGGGTCCTTCAGTCGCATTATTGCTAATGGTTTGCGGGAAATCGACGGCAGTTGGAATGAGTGCTTCTAGTTTGGGGGGATTTTTCTTCTTATTTTCGGTTTTCTCGAATCTTCTTTTATAGACTGGGCATCCTCTGTAAGAACTGACATGTTGTAGACTGCAAAAAATACAGGTTGGTTTATCTTCGGATTTTAGTGGGCATAGCTTACTTCTGTGTTGTTGACCGCATTTGCAGCAGCATTTGGGATTTAGGCAAAGATGTTGGGAATGACCGAATTCTTGGCATCTGAAGCATTGAATTATTCTTCTTTTGGGAGCATAGTTTTCGATTTTTACATTAATACTGAACATATTGTTCTGATGATAAATAGCTTGGCTGGCTGATATTCTCTTTAATTCTAATAAGTAGATCGGGAGTTTAATTATGTTGTCTTCTTGCTTCTTTGAGAATTGTGTCACTTTAATGACGAGGAAGTTTCTTCTGGTTAAGTCTTCATGTATTGCTTCTGTAGCAGTAGTTTCAGGTAGTTTTTTGAGGATCACTTTGATTGGTTTTCTGCTTTCAAGTAGAAAAGAATGGAAAGGTATGCTTCTAGCTTGAAGGATTTTAGTTGTCACTCGGTAGTCATCTACTGTTTTTAAGTTTACATAAAGAAGTTTCGCTTTCATGTCAGCTTCAAATTCATTGCTGCAGGCTTCTATTAATAATTTGTGAACTTTAATCCAGTCTATTAAATTTTGTCGAAACACGATAGGTGGTGGAATTTCATCTTCAATTTTTTCCAAGTCAGACTCCTCTTTATTGTCAAACGATTTTCCGTTGAAATTTCCATCTGGGTGTCTTCAATAGGTTTTTTGGAAGTTTTTAGTGTTGTTATCCATTCTTGTTTATCTTCACGTTTATCGGTTTCGTTCGTCTGATTTTCTGCGCATGAGTTTCCTGGGCTGCAATTACTTTGTGAGTGCTTCTCTGCTAGCCCTCATTGCTTCAATCATTTGTTGTAATTTCGTGCTATTTGTGTGTTCATCATCAGTTTTACTGGAAGATGGGGAGTTTAAATCAGTGTGGTCATTCGTCTTTACTTTTTTGGTCTTGCTTCTCTTTTCTTTCAGTTCCAGCAGGAAGTCCTCTTTCCGTAATGGAAAGGTTTTACTTGAAATCGAAGAAATTTCTGAATCGGCATCACTTGGGTGATAATCAGAATCATTAGAGAGTGTCCTAAAAAAAGACATTTCGGATTACCTGAAGGTAATTTTCGTATATTGTAATCACTAACCGCCTACGGAACTGGGTTAGTATTCTTTCAGATATCGGAGTGTTACCAAAGTACGTGTTGCATGTTCAGCGTCTCATTAATTATATACAAAATAGTAACC